CCAGTCCCATCGCTTCCTGCTGCCGGCAGCGGTGTTGTCAGCCTGCCATGCGCACTCATGGTGATCCCGCCATGGAGGTTCTTCTTCACGCACCTCCTGTTATAGGGTGACAACACTCTGTCTCTGTCTCCCAGTCGTGCTCCTGCGTTGACACCCCCGACCAACTATAAATTTATAAGAAGTTATGGACACCGGCACTCCAAAGTAGAAAAACGTCTTTTATTGACGCATCATGCAACAATACACTTATTGCAACGTTTCGGGGTCACACAGGATCCCCTTCATCAGGCAGAACAACTTATATAGATGTAAACCCTATACAACTTGTTCTGCCTGATGAAGGGGATCCTGTGTGACCCCGAAACGTTGCAATAAGTGTATTGTTGCATGATGCGTCAATAAAAGACGTTTTTCTACTTTGGAGTGCCGGTGTCCATAACTTCTTATACTCTGCCCGGACGGTGGCCATCCGTCGACTACTGATGCACCCAACCCATTTATCAAGGATTTAGCGGTAAGGAGTGCAATGGGTACACTGACTACAACTATAAATTTAAACACAGATTACACAGTCACGGACCACCGTTGTCAACATCAGGAACCCAACCCTGAGAAATGCCATGCACAGAGCACAGAGCATACGTCACTCAGTCAGGGTTTACATCTAGTACACATGATTACAACACGTAACCTAAAAATCATTGCAACTTCGCCGCACACTCTTTCGCTGTTCTTTTCTTTTCTGCTATCGTTTTCAGAATGAGCAATGCAATCATTTAAAAGTTAGATACAAAGCCCAGGGCATTCCGTCCACAAATAGTACATTTATGTATACAGATCTCCACTGTGGGGTAGGAAGGAGATTTAGTCCCTAAATAGTGAATGTCCCCTCACGTGGGGGCTAATATACCACTGACGCATGAGACACTCTGCGCCTCATGCCTCTAGTCCCCGCTCAAACAGAAAAGGCTGGAGATGAGTCTATGATCATGGCTGGGGGGTTAACTGCAGTGGGCGTCTCCCAGAATATGAATGGCATTTTGCATAGGAGGCACAGGAAGCTTGCAGCTCCCTCAGTGGAAGGGACCTCAGCAGTGTCTGCTTGGGATTTGCTTCTTGCTCTGTGCTGGAGGCTGCACTGTTCAGCACCTGCTCCCTGTCCCCCCCTGCACCGCCCTCTTCATCCTCCAGGTGGAGCCAGCGTCCCCCCCTCTCAGTGCAGGTAGGCTCCAGCCCCCATAGACTTGGTTCTGAGTTGTGCCCTTGAGTTCACACCAGTGCTGGGTGTGACCTGCAGAGCTGACACTGTGTGTGTGTGTGTGCTGGATATTCCGCTCAGCCGGTGCAGTGTGCACGCTGCAGGTGTCCCCTTACCCCTCCACCCACTTGGCCCACTTTGGATTACATTACAGCAGCAGCGCAGAAGGAACAATCACACCAGAGGAGCCGACGGCGAAGGGCAGCACTTCAGCATGAGGAGTACGGCTGCAGAAGGGGGACGCTGGCTGGTGGTGCTGGGCTTTCTCCTCCTTACTGGTGAGTACCAATCGTACCCTAATGCAGTCCTGGGCTGACTCGCTGCATCGGTGACAACTACCGGCATGCGGTCTATAGAATTATGAGGATGATCTTGACACTTTAAAGTGGTATTCACGTAGAGATATAGATTGTCGACGGTTCGTCCTAAAAAGATTCTTCGGATCGAGCAAGATTCGGGCTATCCCATGAACACCGGTTCTGTTAGGCGATAGTGTCCGACCGCCACGGAAATCAGAAAAGATCGCGGTCGGAATTTCCTGGCAGGCGGTCTCGCCTTTTTTTTCCCACCACCGTTACACGTTCTGCTCGCGATCATCTTTCATATCAGATGATCGATCAATGTATCAATCAGTGTATTCTTTTGTCATTATTTTTATTATCATTGATGTTTATAAATCAATTCTTTAATTTGTTTTTATTCTATTGGTTGAACTCGACGGGAGCGATCAGAGAGAAGCTGATTGGTTGCCATAAGAAAACTGTCTGCGTCGGGTTCTCATGAATTCCCCCCAATGTATCTTTTTTTTTTCAACCTGAGTAACTATGTAACTATCTGGGATCCAATCACAAAGCTTCCAGATCTTCCGTGTCACTATATACAAAGGGGGGAATTTATCAGAACTGGAGCAGACAGAACCTGGAGCAGTTGCCCATGGCAGCCAATCAGCACCTCTCTTCAGTTTGCTCAGTTGCTATTTGAAAATGAGAGAGAGAAGCTAATTGGTTGCCGTGCAAATCTGCTCCAGTTTTGATAAATTCCCCCAAAAGTATATATCACAAAGCTTCCGGATCTTCTGTGTCACTATATACAACGTATACACTGAGTGGCCAGATTATTATGACCACCTGACGTTTGTAGGCAAATTAGCTATAATTTGGCGCTGAAGTTGCTAGAGGGCCAGACCATTATAAATAGGGGAGCGGGTTGGTTACCACGACAGTAGAAGTGATTTGTTTCGGAAGATACGGGGAAACAACGCGATGTAACAGCCTTTGAACGCGGGATGATTGTTGGCGCTCGGAGCCATGGAGCGAGTATCAGCAAAACAGCAGAATTCCTTAAATGTTCAAGAGCAGCTCATTGTTAAAGTGTTTAAAGACCGGACTGTCAGCCGAAAATCTGGGTCTGAACGTGCGAATTGTGGCCGTCAGCGACTAGTCAATGTTAGGGCAGAACGGGGGGGGGGCAAGACTGGTACAAGACAACAGAAGGGCGACAGTGCCGTGTCAGATTCCTCGCATCACCTTTCATCATCTCGTGGAGTCACGAGGCGGCCCAACGAAGTACTGATGGGGGGGTCATAATAATCTGGCCACTCAGTGTATACAAAGTATATATCACAAAGCTTCAGGATCTTCGTTCCGGTCATGTGACTGGAATTGTCATATTTTTGTGAAATCTTTACGGCGCTGCGTCAGCTCTGTGAACGGAACCCGTATCTGTGAAACGATTGCAGCTCTCCGATAAGTCAACACGCGTCTGACACGACCTGTGTCGCCTGTGTCACCGCCACCTTTCTGTTTTGCGTCCCGGCTTACTGTCTGCATTGTTGTGTCATTATGATGAGGACGCTGATGATTAACATCCTGATTGTTGTGGGATTGGGTTGCGATGTGAAACTGTTTTTGCAGTAGTCACCCCCCTCATTGATCATTGCCCTCCGTATGGCTGTGTGATGGAATATGTTACATGGTTACATAGTATTTGAGGTTGAATAAACTGACAGGTCCATCAAGTCCAACCTTTGTGTGTCGGTGTGTGATTGAGCTGAAGAGTACAGACGAGTCCGTTCAGTGTACAGAACATGGGGGGAGGAGGATTGGGATGACG